CGTACTCTTTAAGGTTAGGGATGTTGGCTTTGTGGGGTTAAAATAATCAAGGAGAGATTAATTGAATTATTTTTTACCATCATTAAATATAGGAAGTTTACCATTATACCTTTTTTTAATTTATTTAATGAATTATTATTCGTGAATTTTTATTGGTGCATTTAGGCATATACTATTTGCTAGAAACATTTGAACATAGCTCTCTTTCTTTCTCTCTCTCTCTCTCTCTCTCTATATATATATATATATATATATATATATATATATATATATAAAAGGATTACTATTTTTATCCTTACCCTTATAAATAGTAATCCATATATATATATATATATATATATATATATATATATATATATATATATATATATATATATATATATATATATATATATATTATGAGTGATGATATGATGTTAAATGATTATTTATATGGTTAAACATAAAACTTTTATAAAAAAAACATAGGGGTTGTTTTAATATGACCCTTTTGCTAATTTGAAAAGTCCCCATCCAATTTATTTTATTGAAACAATGTCAAATCAACATTTTAGCGAATAAATATGTTCTATGTTATGGGCATGTTTGGCAACAAGATTTTTGAAGAGTTTGGAGCTTTTATATTAAAAACAAACGTCGGTCATATGAGAGTATGAGTTTAAAGTTTCTATTTTAGAAAAAAAAAAAATCATTATTCAAAAACTATTTGAAATAACGTTTAAAGAAAAGTTCCATCCTATTATAACAAAATTACTAGGATACCCTTCATATATCCTTTTATGCAATTTTACAAATTTCAAAAGTTTACAACTAATTTTTTCCAACACTTTTATTTAAATAAAGCCACAACTTCCACCTCCAAATAAAGGCTACAATAGATATTTTAGTTAAACACGCCCTATATATTTTATTAGTGATCTTAGGTGCATATGTACATATGTATTATATCTGATGTGTTGATCTGGTATAGACTCACATATGATCATCAGTAGTCCATCAACCAATGAACTCGGTTGTAGATTATAGACTCACAAATATGTCTTTCCTAAACTACAAGACCTTTCTCGCCATCCTTTTATGAAACCATGACACGTTCATGAAGGGACTCATGTTTGACCCATATTACACATTCATAAATGTCATCCATGTCCATAAACTTTTCAGGGTCTCTAAATAAGCTCTTTGTTTTTTCTGGTATCTTTTTGAGAACTATTTATGAAACTTCTCTCGATTGTCTTCCCGTGTGAGTTCAGCAATATAGCATTACAAACTAAAAGCTTGTTTACCCTTCTCCAGTGGTTCCTCCTTGCTCACTAGTTGACCAGTGGCGAATCTAGAACCGAAAAATACGTGGTTCCTTGTGTAAGTTAAACCGAAAAAAAAAATGAGAGAGTAAATAATAATAGTGGTGGTTCAATGCCTCGTGGGGGGCGACGGTGGGCAAGGGGAAATGATCCGACATTCCGACTACGGATGACGTAGGGAGGAACTAGTGGCCGGTGGGAGCAATCAGCAGGGCGATGATGTTTGATGCTTCAGATATTTTGATCACGCCTTAGGCCAAACGACGTTTCAAATTTCAATCCTTTTTGATATTTTTTTTTTCTTTTTTTGCTTAATTTTAAATAGATCGGGCTATTACCTAATGATTAAAGTTTAAGTTGATTGAGACATTGATCTATTTTATGTGGATTGAGACATACCTTATATTTTAAGTTCATTGAGGCATTGAGCTAATCTAAGGTATGTCCTTTAAAAACCATAAGGTCCCCATTTTTTCATTCATACTTTATACCGATTAAAATGTAAGGAATAGATATTCAGTTCTTGCTTTAAATTAAAACTTACAAATTTGGCACTTGCTACCTATTCCAACCTCGCGCTCTGCATATCACCGCCCTGAAAGTTAACGAACAAAAGATCCATAAACCAGAGAACTTAATAGTAATCTAAGTTGAAGAAGATCGTTCCTCAAAAACACAAAAGATCGAACCCAATATTTGAAATTTTCGTTCGAGTTGATCTTGTAGTTGTCGAAGCATATTCAACAGCTTACCAGCTCCGATCTCTCCATTTTCGCATTTCTAGGAATCACAAGTGTCATATGTCTTGAAGGGATGAGATTTCCTTAAAATGGTTGACATTCCATTGACCGGTGTTCGTCGTTATCCCATCTGGATCTAAATGAAGGGTGGAACTCATGTCGATGCTTTTTCATTATACTCATTTATTGAATCAGTGTTTTTCTTTGTTGAAATTTGAATGTCGGTCTCATAAAAAAAGATACACTTCCCTTGTAATCATAGCTTGTTCCACCGAATATGGTATTGTATTGAGTTAAGGTCTTTGTCTGCGTCCACCGACTCAGCCATCCCCTCACCCAAAAGCATAATCTGTTAGTTATAGCCAAATGGTGGGTTTGATTATCCCTAGCCATAACCCTGTTTCGAAACCACGAACGTCACACTCATTGGTCAAGTGTCTTCCATGAAAGTATGGTCGAACAAGCTGAACCATTTGACGTCGTCAACGTGTTGCAGCTTTCCCGTGATTGCACGAGATTTCAGTGAATTTATGGTTGATGACTTTTTGGGGGAATTAGGGGGTGGGCCTTGTTGTTTTTAACTTATTAATCTTAAAGTAATGTGGGAAGTGTTAGTTTGGGGCCTAGGTAGCGTGCAAAAACCGGTTTTTTTTATGAACCGGACCGGTTCAGAAAACCGGTTCGGTTCAAGTCCAACAAGTCAAAACCGGTTCACACCAAAACCGGTTCGGTTCCAATCCGGTTCACCCCAAAAATTATTCGAACATATTTAAACCGGTTCGGTTTGTTCAAAACCGGTTCAACGAAAACCGGTTTTTTTTTGAGCTAGTAAGTGTAAAATAGGAATGAGTTTTTTATTTGTTTAGAGTATAAAGCTCTTTTGAGCTAGTAAGTGTAAAAAACCGGTTCAAAATCGGTTTACAAATAGGTTCAAAAAACCGGTTCAAAAAACCGGTTCTTAACAAACCGGTTCGAAACCGGATCACACATTAAAAAGGGCGAATTGGTTCGGTCCGTAGGTTCGGTTCTTCGGGGGTTCGGTTCATGCATGAACCGGTTCGGAGGAAAACCGGTTTCCGGTTCACTAACCGGTTCGGTTTGTGAACCGGTTTTTTTGGGCATCCCTAGGCCTAGGTAGGGGTATTGATAGAGTAATTTTTTCGGGTTTCGGTTAATTTGGGTTTTTCATGTTAAAAAAAATATTCGTTACCCGATCCAAATTAAATTTGAGTAATTCGGGTATTACCTAATATATATATATATATATATATATATATATATATATATATATATATATATATATATATATATATATATTTGAATGACACCTAAAAATAAATTTAATAAAATAAATATGTCGTGCTTTATTAGTCTTGTTTATATAAACAAACAAGGTATAAACAAAGTTACTGAAACTTTGAACATTAAAATTTTTTGTCAATAATACTTGAAATATCAAGTAATATTTTAACAACTTAATTTAATCTAATAAGATGTTAAAAAACAAATACTTAAAGACCTTAGTTTAAAAGTTTAAAATGTTTAAGATAATTGTAGCCATAAGTTTTGTCGTGTTCTGAAGTTTTATCAAAATAATGAGTTTGTTAGTTGTAATAAAAACTCGTACAAGCTCTACGAAAAAATAAATGAATTTTTAAAATAATTTGGGTATACTCGAAACCCAACAAACGTACCTTATACCTAACCTAAAAAAAAAAAAAATCAAGCTACGCAATTACCCGAAAAAATTTACTGGGTATCGGGTATTTTCAATAGGGCTAGGTCTAGCTCCTATTTATCATAACCACTAAAACTAAGGATCTACTGACTAATTAAATGTGTAAATTCATCAATATTTCAATGTCAAAAACCCAATAAATAATTCATTTAACTATTATATATATATATATATATATATATATATATATATATATATATATATATATATATATATATATTAATTACCAAAATTGGTATGTGTGAGGATTTACTATTCATTCCACGTAAGCAGATTTTATACTTTCAATTTTTTTTTTCATTTTCTACCCTTTATTTTTATTTGTTTTCATATTTTGTACCCATACTAATTTTGATGTATTTTTTTTTTTTCATTTTCCACTCTTTACGTTTATTTGTTTTTATATTTTATACCCCTAAACTAATTTTTATGTACCAATTTTTATCCTCATTTTTTTTTTCATTTTCCACCCTTTACTTTTATTTGTTTTATATTTTATACCGCTAAACAATTTTTGATGTAACAATTTTTATCCTTATAATTTTAAAATTTATATATATTTATATTCTTTCTCCTTAATTAATTTTTATTTAATAGTTTTCAACCCTTATAATTTTAAAGTTAATTTATTAGTATTTTATACATTATAATTTGGTCACTTACTATATTTTAAAGTTATATTTTGGCCCCTTATATAACTTTTTAATAATCTTTTTTTATTAATTTCTTAAAGATACACTTTCAAGTCAATTGTTTGTATTCATGTTTTATTTTGATATTTTTGTGCTCCATTTTATATGATTTAATCGTTTTCGTTGTATACATGGTGTCAAACTTCGTTTTTCAACACACTGGAGCTTCCGCAGCAACGCGCGGATGGTCCAAACCTTAGTTTAAAATAAATTTAACATTTATTTTAAATGAAACGGAGTATGGTTACAATTAATTTATTTAATAACTTGTTTTTTGTTTGATTAAAGCCTAGTTTTATAAAATAATATTTTTTTTATTGTCAACTTAATTATATTTAGGATGTTGCTAAAAAGACACCTCTTAGACACCCTATAATCATTTTTATAAAAAGTCAACATATAATCAACTATTTGTAATCAGCTTTTTCGGAAAATAATATAATTTTAACCAATAAAAATATTTCAAATATTAATTAAAGTTGTCTAAATGATAAAATAAAGTGCCTTTTTAACCGACAACACCTACCAGATAAACATGTCTGCACAATCCCACCCCGGCCATTGTGTAGTTCCGAAGTCTATCCAATTCCTTCATCCAAATGGCCGCGAAAATTAACCAATAACCTCTGATCTGCACAATCGACTATGGCTTCATCTTCTTCGCCTATAATTCAACCCCTCTTCTCCAACAGCAACAACAGCCGCACTTCGTCTCTCAATGCCTCCACCTCCACCTCTTACTTCTCATTTCCATCTTCTGTCAGGAATTTCTTCAACAAAAAGAAGTTCGCCACCACTATCACAGCCATGGCACAACCACAAAGGAGCGCAATGCAGTATAATCAAGTTGGGGATTCCAATCTTGTAGTCAGCGAAATTACTTTTGGCACGGTGAGTTCCTTATTTTTTTTCATCAAAATTTCCGATTCTCCTTCTTCCTACAGTTTCTATGAACGCAACTCTCGTTCAGGTATTCTTGTGGGTTATCAATGCATCTGCATTTTTGTATTTGCCCTAGAAATTTCAGTTTTGGCATTTGGGGATACAAAACTTCGTCTGTAGTTCCTTCTTTTTCATCAAAATTTTCAGTTCTCATTGCTTTCTTTCGTTTTTATGAACTTAAATCCCATTCAAATGTGGTTTTCAGCGTATATCCATAGACAACTGATTCCTGCAAGTATTCAGCTTATATATACTGGAATTACATTCTTTTCTTTCTGATAATTTAAATTTCATGCTAAATTTCCAGATGACATTTGGGGAACAGAACACCGAGAAGGAGGCTCATGAAATGCTCTCCTATGCAGTGGAACATGGGATTAATACTCTAGACACAGCAGAAATGGTAAGAAATAATCATTCAGTAGTCATATGATTTTCGGATTTTCCTTCTCAAGTGATTATTTAACTAATTTGAACTTCTACATGCTTTCAAAGTATCCAATTCCAATGAAGAAGGAGACACAAGGACTAACAGATGTTTATATTGGAAACTGGCTGAAATCTCGACCTCGTGATCAGGTATACTTTTCTCCATTTTCAGTCTCTTTATATCATTATTTTAATAACACAATCTTTTAAAAAAGTTTTACGATTTTAATTTTACCAAAGTTTTGTTTTCTAGAAGTAACTACAATCGTATTTGGGTTTTAATAACCTGTTAACAAAATTAGGTTTAACTTCTATACTTTTTTTACTATAATTGTATTTGGGTTTTAAAAACCTTTTAATAAGATTAATTTTTAACTTTTGTACACAAAGACTTCAATAACTATAATTAAATCAATGTATAGAACATTCGATTATTGAGTTTCATTCCATATTTCCATTATCTTATAATGTTGTTTATTTCCACTTTGGGCATTTGTATATTTCAGATTATATTAGCCACTAAAGTGTCTGGATACTCAGATAGATTAAGTTACATAAGAGACAACGCAGAAATTCTAAGGGTTGATGCTGTAAATATTAAAGAAAGTGTGGAGAAAAGCTTGAAACGTTTGAATACTGATTACATTGACTTATTACAAATTCATTGGTTAGTTTCCTATATATGCCTCATACTATAGAAATATAACACATATATGCATTGGAATAGCTTTCCCATATATCTATTACATACAAAACATCATACTAAAAATGCATAATTTTTAAAGTTGAAGGACCAAATTGTACAAATGAATCTTTAACAAGTAACCAATAGATATGCTTTGTGCTTATGAAATGCACACATGACACATGTGAACACTCTGTAAATCTTAATGAAACTTTAGGGAACTAATGTTTATTTTCTTAAATATTTCCTCAAGTCTTATATGGATTACAATATAGGGAATTCCACCTGTTTTTACAAATTTGCCCTTATTATTATTTTTTGTTTCTCTTCAGGCCAGATCGCTATGTGGGATTGTTTGGAGAGTTCTTTTATGATCCTTCCAAATGGAGGGAAAGTGTGTCATTTGTTGAACAACTCAGAGCCTTTCAAGAACTCATTAATGAAGGAAAGGTAATTAATGATGTCTGCCCTTCAAGAACTCATTAATGAAGGCAAAGTGTGCTATTTACCAATTTGCCCTTATTATCTTTTCTCTTAATGAGTTATTTGTATGTGTAGGTGAGGTACATTGGTGTTTCAAATGAAACTTCATATGGAGTAATGGAATTCATTAATGCTGCAAAAGCTGAAGGGCTTCCAAAGATTGTTAGCATTCAAAACAGTTATAGTTTGTTAGTAAGATGCAAGTTTGAAGGTATTTTGTTGACTTTAATTCCATTCCGATGTTTGATTGCAAATGACTATGGAATTCACAAAAATCCTACAACTTTCCTTTTATAAATTCATGGAATTCAATTCCAATGCTCGTTCAGTCATTTGTATAAATGACTGAAGTACCCTTTCTAAACCCTATTACTAACATTGTAATATGCTGGTTTGTTCTCTCGTGTTTCTTGTTACGTATGGATAAAAGGGTAATCTAAATAAATCTACTAGTATTTGATAAAAGTTTCGTGAGCAAGAAATCTAAAGGGGGCAAATCTGTCATTTGTCATTATCTACACTATAAATCCTGTCACAGATTTACAAGACCAAACAAAAACATACAAAGGAATGGAAATGAATTCCATTCCATATCCTACCTTTTCAATTTCTTTAAATTCCAATTCTAAAACCATATTTTTTTTTTTTGTAGTTGATCTTGTTGAAGTATGTCATCCATATAACTGCAATGTTGGTTTACTTTGTTATTCTCCATTGGCTGGTGGAGCTTTAACTGGAAAGTATTTGGATTCTGAATCTGAAGCTTCTAAAAAAGGAAGGCTTCAGCTTTTCCCTGGATACATGGAAAGATACAATAAATCCATTTCCAAGGTACTATTCTTTTCATCACCTTTACTTCTATTATATTATTTTCACTCGACAATTCTTTCTTTACCCATAATACCTATTATTTCACTTTCCTTTCAGGAGTACAAACATGTCAAATTTACCTAATTGCCCATTATCATCATTACAAACAAAATTTGTGATATTTACAAATGTCCATAATTTTCTTGTTGTCTTCACGTAGGCTGCGTTTGTTACACGAGACATGGATTAGAAGGTGTTGGACAAGCTTTCTAGGACTATTTTGATGATGAGGATGAGGAGGGTATATACGTCTTTTGCACCAGCAAGAGATCAAGAGTGGGTCCATGTCTCATCTTGTTCCACCTTTTTGTACGGGACAAAGATTGCAAATTGCAATTTTGTTCCCGCCCAAGAAAGGTGTGGCACAGACTCACTCTCAATCTCGTCTTTTGAAAAAGATGAAAATACCATCCTCATTTGTATCAACGAAATAGTCCTAGAAAGCTTGTTTAGTCCCGTCCAGTCTAGTTACGTGTAAAAAAGAAAATTTTAAGGGTAAATATTTTACAAATAATAGAACAACTTCCATAGATTATGTCTAAGATATTAAATATAGGGAAATCTTAGATAAAGTCTTAATATTTTGGATCAATTTACGGTTTAATCCCAAATTAATTTTTGTTTACAAAAAAAGACAGATTCCTGGCTAAAACTTCGAAGTAACCCTTTTTGGTTGGGTTCGCAAATTTAGCTGGTATCCTGTCTTTTTTCGTAAATTGATCAAAATATTTGGACTTTTCTGAAGATTACGTTATTTTCTACCAATAACCCAAGATAGTTCAAGGTAATCTTAAAAAATGTCTCAATATTTTGGTTATTGGTAAAAAATAACGTTATCTTTAGAAAAGTTCAAATATTTTGACCAATTAAAAAAAAAGACAGAATACCAGCTAAATTAGCGAAACCGGCCAACAAAGGGTTAGGGAAATAGACTTATTAAGGTAATTAACATTTCGGTTTGTTCACATCTGGGTAACTATCTTCTATGACCGGCTGTAGCAGGTTACATCCGGTCATAATGGTCATATGTGAACACTTCCAAAAAGTTCGTTACCTAGATGCATACAAAAAAAAGATAGTTACCCAGATGTGAACAAACCGAAAAGTTAAGAGTAAATTACACGAATGGTCCCTGTGGTTTGGGTAATTTGAGCGTTTGGTCCCTAACTTATTTTTTAATTCGGATAATATCTATTGTTTATTTTTGCTGTGTGTTTAGTCTGTCGTACCTCACAAGACTATTATGCTCTTTTTAATTTATTTTTTTATTTATGTATTTATTTTTTATATATTTAAAAAAATAATAGATCCTACATATTTGTATCTCCTCACTCTAAACCTGAAACCATATTTGAGAAATTTAGGTTGGGTTCCACTGGTCACCATCCCATCTCTCATCCCCCTCAACTTCTATTTGTTTTCCATATTTTAATGATATCGACGTCTTCACCATTCCTTCTTTTTTCGGTCCTTCAACTTCGGCGAACCAACACCACAACCCTTCTATTCGGTTGTGGTGGCGGAAAATTTAATGAAGTGACAGTGAGTTGTGGGTGAGGAGATATAGATATGTGGAGTCTGTTAATTTTTTTAAATATATAAAAAATAAATACATAAATAAGAAAATTGATTAAAAAATAAATTAAAAAACGCACAATAGTCTTTTGAGGTAAGACAGGGACCAAATGCACAACAAAAAGAAAAAGTAAGGATCATCCGAGTTAAAAAAATAAGTTAGAGATCAAACGTACAAATTATCCAAATCACAGGGACCATTCGTGTAATTTACTCTTAACTTTTCGGTTTGTTCACATCTGGGTTATTATTTTCTTTTGTACGCATCCGGGTAACGAACTTTTTGGAAGGGTTTTAACATATGACCATTATGACCGGTTATGGCTGGATGTAACCTGCTATAGTCGGTCATAATGATCATATGTGAACACTTCCAAAAAATTCGTTTCCTAAATGTGTACAAAAAAAGATAGTTACCCAGATCTGAACAAACCGAAAAGTTATTCTGAAGTTTTAGCCGGTAATATGTCTTTTTCTGGAAACAAAATTTAATTTGGGATTAACCCGTAAATTGCCCATAAATATTGGGACTTTATCTAAGATTTCCCTTATATTTATTCCCTTTTTTTTTATGAGAAATCAAGTCTACTACAAATTCGGTTTAATTGATACTTTCTAGTTTCTATTATATTATATAGGAAGCTACGACACAATACATTGAAATGGCAAAGAAACACGGTTTAAGTCCGGTTGAGCTGGCACTTGGATTTGTGAGAGACCGTCCATTCATGACAAGCACAATCATCGGTGCAACATCCGTTGAACAATTAAAAGAAGATATTGATGCTTTTTTAACAACCCAAAGACCTTTATCACCCGATGTCATGACAGATATCGAAACTATCTTTAAGAGATACAAAGATCCTACAACTTTTTAGACTTCAAGGCTTCATTTTTTGTCACCTTTTCGGATTAATTGTTGAGATTTTGTTGCGATATAGGTTTGTAAATGTCTTATTTGGTTCTTTTAGCCGTTGTATAAGTACAAAAGTGATAAACCAAAATTGTCATTTAAGCTAATCTCAAAATTAGTCTTTGTACTTTTAAATGTTTGGAGAATCTACCCGGTTATATAGTTCTATACTTTTTTTTTGGTTTCTTGTGTAACAAAATACAGCAACTAGACTTGTTTTTATTATTGTTATGTTTTAGTTTCATTTTATTTTTTATGTAATATTTTTATATACTTTGAATTAATAAAATATTTCCTTTTTTCTTATTTATCCTATTAATATAACTAGATTATCATTGTTATATATTCATTTAGAAAAAGTAGTGAATGGTGATGGGTGACCTTATTTTCTAAGGTCAAGGGAAGTGATGGAAAATAGAGGAAAATAACGTGAGGCTGAATTGAAATAGTAGTAAATATAGGAGGAAAATAACGAGTCTTATTATTATTTCCTAAGTACCTATACAACATTGTCAAAAGCACCAATACGTCTTAAACTTGCTGAAAATAGAAGGTTTTAGTTACAATATGATGCATAGCAGTTAGTGATCATATAAGGACTGATATAGTTTTAAACTGTTTTGCTTTTTTTAAATACTTATAAATTATAATTGCCGTTCAAAAAAGGAAAAACTTATAAATTGTAACCCTGCTTTTATATTTCAATTTACATTTCGAGGGATATAAAAAAGTCCATAAAAGATAATACTTGGCTTGAATACAATACAAAGCATGAAGCATGCTTTGTTTGAGAATAATTTTGATGACTCGATTATCCATGCTTTTGACAAAACAATTATTGGATTATTTTTAACTAAATTCAAAGGAACCTAAAAGTTGACTTTATTAATGTATATTTGTTTGTGAGTAAATATAAGTACACGAATTTTATTAATTTAATTTAAATAATTTTATCATATTTATTGTGATCATATGTTAAAATATAAATTATATTATGGTACCAGGTGTTGTCCTTCATCGATGAAGTTGAGGGTTCAAGTTCTGTTTAGGGCATAGGTGGATTTAGGAGTAGTTTAATTAAGAATAAGTTAGATTTACCTTTTAAAAAATGTGGTAATTTAGTTAAAGGATTAGTTTAATAAAGGATAAGGTTAATTATGTAAAAGACTTTATATTTTAGGTTTTTTTTTCGGTTAAAACCTAAAGTTTTTTTTTTTTTTTTTTTTAAAAAGAAACCTTCACATTTTCTCATCACTTTCATTTTGATATATTTACTAGGTTAAAACTCGTGTGCTACACGGGTGATAAATTAGCATAAGTTAGATTTTAGAAATAAAAATTAAAGAAATAGCAACATAATTTCATTTGCCTAATGTTGAATGCATGATTTTATGAAAACTAAAAAATCAAATAGAAACGTAGTGCATTGTTATATCTAACTATATAAAAAACATTATCATACCTATCTATTACACATGCTTTACTAAAAGTACTAACACATATCAATATAAATACAAAGAGCTCTTTATTAATAAAAAAGACAAAGAAACTCCTATAAATACCTACTAGACAAAAAAAAAACATATGATAAATTAGTGTCAAAGCAAACTCTCATGTGTAAAATAACAATTATGGCATCCATTTCCATCTTAAGGCAAGAACCTATAAAATTAAATTCTAAATTTAATTGATAGAATCGTATGCTAAGTCTTGAATGTGGAGAAAAAGATAACCAGGAATCTATTGACATAAACTCATCTCGGTATAATTAATTAAAATTAACAAAAAAAAAAAACAACATATGATGCAACTGTATCAGGTTGATTAAAATACATACTAAATACTAAGGAGATATGAACACATTCACATACATACATACTATTCTTCTTGCAGATGGTAGTTATAAGCTTCTGTGAGAACTTGAAAATCATGAGTATTTGAGAATGAAACTCAATTGTCCCTGTTTAAAGAAAATGAAACTGGTTTGTTTCAAAAGGCTTATTTGTGCTTACACACATATCAAAAGGCAATTTTGATAGTATTAGCTAAGCATAAATAATGTCATTTTGTCCATTTTTAAACATAGAAGGTTTATAAGGCAATTTTGATAATAGCAAATAAGCACAAAGAATGAAACTTAGCAGCAACAAAGAAAAAATCAAGGCCCAAGCTATGTAGCTTCATTTTGTAAAATTAATTTAATCACCGTAAAACATTTTCATCACATACAAAAAAAATTCATTGCTACAATGTAAGAGAAATTTTTAAGAAATGGTCTATGTGCAACATTTTCGTCACAAAGAATTAAAAAAATTATTTTTTTTTTACAAAAATAAAAAAAATTAACAACCAAGTGATGCCATTTATACCATTGTACTTAGAAAGTACATTGTTATAATTGGAAGTAATCAAGGATGCATTCTAATGTCAAAAAATTAGTTTATTCTATAAAACAATCAAGAAAACCGACACATGAAATGGTTAATAGAAAGTTGGTAGGTTAAGTTAAATAACCTTGTAAGCCAAATTTTATCTTCCTTTTTCAATTAAATGAGCATATACATACCATTAACAAAAAGAACAACCATATAATATGTAATGCCCCATTACTGGTATGTAATTTAATAAAGTATTTTTCCTTTCTTAAGAGGTACTCAACGAGTTAGTAACTCGTTGAGTAGAGGCGGGATTTGTACGCGTCTTTAGTAGGCGACTTGACGAGTCTGTATCCCGTACTCGGCGAGTCCGTTAGTCTGGATGAAACCCTAAATCACAGGGTTTGCACCCAATTTAAACGTCATTATAGCCTTCCACCCCAGCCTCCAGCTCCTCTAGAGCATTTCCCTTGTAAACCCTAGTCCCCATTGTTGAGCTTGAGTGTTTTTGTGCTAGCTTGGAAGTTTTGGAAAAGAAGGAAGGAAAGAAGATCAAGAGAAGAGAAAGGAGATCCAGAATCTAGTCTCAGTTTGCTTCATATTCTGGTAATAAATTTATTACCTTGCTTATTCTTCCATTAAACCCACTTTTACTGCTTGTTTATGTCTCTTTTGGAGCTTTATATGATTCAAACTCGAGATTTGAGCTCTCCTTAGGATGGATACCATAGATCTGGATGTTATTGAGCTCTAAGAACTCAATATAGTTACCTTTATCCAAATATAGCCTTGTTCCAAATGCTAAGTGCTTATTGTTGGATGATATTGGTGTTTAAGCCCTATTCTCTTGTGCATGCATGTAAAGTTGGAAACTTTACGTGTAAAACCAGCCCTAGAAGCCTAGATCTATGAATTGGATGCACTGAGACCGATTAGAATCGACTGGATAGAAGTGGCATGCAGGAGACTCGGCGAGTCCACGTCGTGACTCGATGAGTTCAAGGCAATCTTCTTACTTCAAGAACAGACTCGACGAGTTGTTCATACAACTCGGCGAGTCGGATGAAGTTAGATTCGACGTAAATTCGGAAGAGGAACTCATCGAGTTGTTGCCAAACTCGACGAGTTGAAGCAAGTAGAGGATTAGAAAAGCTGTTAGGGGCTCGACGAGTTGGCGGCCCAACTCGACGAGTCCGGTCAACTAAAAGTTGACTTTGACAAGGAGGTTGACTTTGACCAGGGTTAAATTAGTCATTTTACCCTGAGAATAGTTATTAGTATCTGATTTAGTGTCTATGGAATTTGTAGTCGGGGAGTTCCGGAGCAGCAGTCAACCAGTTTCAAATTTAGCATCTCAGCAGCCAGCGATACGAGGTGAGTTTTCCTTCCAGTAGGAACTGGTCTACAGCCACAATGTCGGACCGTTTAGTTAGCAGTAGTTCCGGACTTCGGTCTGATGCAGTAGCTCAGTGTACTTGATGTCTTTGTGATTCAAGCATGCCTTTGTGTTACATGATCCAGACTTCGGTTCGATACACTATGCAATATGTGTGTTTATGCTAGTAGTTATGATTATGCTATGTTATGTTCAGTCAGTTCCGGACTTCGGTCCGATACAGAGGGCAAGGCCCTGGTTAGTTTTGGACTTCCGTCCGATGCAGTTTCCGGACCACGGTTCGATGCATAGGGCAAGCCCCTGGTTAGTTCCGGACTTCAGTCCGATGCAGTTTCCGGATTACGGTCCAATGCAGAGGGCAAGGCCCTGGTTAGTTCCGGACTTTGGTCCGATGCAGTTTCCGGACTTCGGTCCGATGCAATAGGCAAGGCCCAGTAGTTGCTTTATATGTCATTGTATGGTATGTGGTAGTTTGGGGGAGCTCACTAATATTTATGCTTACAGTTTCAGTTTTTGGTTTCAAGTACTTCTGCTAGTAAGGGGAAGAGCTCGGAATGATGGCATAACACACACCACAGCTTCAATTTATCCTAAGAGTTCTATTCGGATATTTATGATATGTTTTGACATCAGTTGATTTGATACATTCGCTTTTACATTTGAGACATGCAATTCGTGGTTTTATTTTATGATGATTGATTTCATGGTTTTAGTAATGTTTAAAACAAAATTTTTCTGGGTTGTATTTTTGGGATGTTACATAATAAAACTTTATTGGAGTGAAACAAATAATGCCCACATATAAAGATGACACTGCAATATTTCATCACAAACAAAATAATTATAAAAAATAAGATTTTGAGAGGAATAAAAGAAAGATTAAAAACTAAATGATGTCAATTATAGCATTATACTTAGAAAGTATATTGTTATAGCTTGCACAAACCTTCCAATAGAGGAATTAACATAACATTCACATCAAATTCACATGAAAATGGGCAAAAATTGATGAAAAATATTTAGTAATTTTGTTTTTGAAAGTACATTGCAATTAAATTGTCATTTCCAAAGAAAAAAAGCTGAAAAAAGCTGGCATCACACCTGACCTTCTAACAATAGACATCAAAATACCAAAAATATTTTTCTTAAAAGCACACCACTTTAAACCGGTCGTGACAGTTTTTTTTTTTTTTTTTTTTTTTTTTTTTTTTTTAAATAAAACTTGCATCAGACTTATACTTAACTTGGTAATAATAGACATTAAAATTTTACAAAACCATTTCTTTAAAGTACATTGCTATTAAAACTACCATTTCATGTTACATGGTTGACAAATTAATATAATTTAGATAACTTGGTTAAATAAGGAAATAACATCATTGCACACACCTAAATACCAACACACTTTAAAAGTACAATGCTATAATTAGGAATCTGTTATCCGACAATGCAAAAAACATTAAAAAAAATATATAACTACATTGTTGTAAATGGGAAAAACAACCCCCATGTGCAATGACAGTGTCATTTTAACAAAATTATGAAAATCAAATAGAACTACATTGCTATAAATGGAAA